AAGGAAAAATTAAAGGGCTAAATATGAATAAGTGATATTTAAAAGGCAATATGGTAATTGTTTATACGGATTACAAGATGTAAGCACAAAAAGGAAGCAGAATTCTTTTTTTCGACAAAATAGTTTTTCCCAAAAGTGTTGATTTTTGAAAACTTGAACCTTCTCAGGAGACAGAACTGGTTTGGTAGAAAAAAGTTTGATATTTGTCAAAATTGCCTCTTTCAGGCATGATGTGACTTCATAATTTGACAAAGGTCAGAATGACAATGAAATATTAAAACATTATCTAAATGAAACCTTTTGACTGAACTGAACCTTTTTTTTTTGTTTTCTGGTTTGTGAAAGCTTTCAAGATTTCAATTTTTCACTGTGAGTTGGGATGGAAATTTTTTGTTTTTGGCATCTCAAAACTTTCCATTTGATATACATGCCTTCACAAACTTTTAGATGTTAGGATTAACTTCTTAATGAAGTATTTCTTGTTTCTCAAGTAGCTTTCTGCTTTTTTTCCAGTGTTTTGAGCAGGCACTTTTTTTTTTATTTTAGGTTTCATGTACTGCAGTCCTCTCTGTCTTGCACTGACTAGTGTCCAGCCACAGTAAATTTTCTGTCTTCCATTTCCCTTTCCCAGGACGTATTTCCTATCTCCTGCTTCACTAATCTGTCGAGAATGCTTCACTTGAACTTCAGCTTTTCTACCACACTTTATTAAATTCAGGGATTCAGCAAATGGAAAATCCTGCTACATATGTCTTTTTCAAGCAGAAATTGCATTTCCTTAAACCTCATTAAAAGAGTCTAGGTGTTTGACAACTTTCCATACTCTCTCTTCTCTTTCCTGTAGAACAATATCAGGTTTGCCCATAGCTTGGGAGGAGCCATTTTGGGACAAGTCCTTAGCTGTTTGACTTCAGGGGAGCTGTGTTGCTTTCCATCCCCTGAGGATCATCCCCTTTTGTGTCTCAGGATTCATATGGCATTAATAGATGTACCAGTGACAACATGTCTATCACAACTAGCAGCCCAAACCAGATGCACAGTAATAAGTGGATGAAATAAGATATTCTGGGAGTTGTTATTTTGTTAATCTCTGTCTTGATTTATAAGTGTCCTCAAGACAGCACTGCATGTACTGTGGAATGTATTTATAAAAAGCAAGATGAATACCAATTTAAATTAGGTCATAGCATATTTTCTTATATTAAACAAAGTATGGCATATGTTTCTCTCTCACAGCCTACTCTGTTTTAGCTGGTGCTAAAAGATGGTAAGACCTCAACAGTCTTCAGCCTCTACTTAGGCCATAGATTTTGTATGATGACACAGCACTGTTAAAACCTTAGTGCACATATATAAGCAGACTGTAGTAAAACCTGATAAGGGAGAGTTTTGAAAGCTTTGTAAAGTAAATTGCCAAGTTACTTTTAAGTACTTTTATCTATTTGTATCTAAATCTATTCAGTGTTAGGTGTCCCCAAATGATTTGTCCCAGTGTAAAGCAAGCAAGAATTGAAAATGTGCAAAAACAAACACACACACAAAAACAACCCAAAAGAAACACTAGCATCTCTATGTTCTTACACTTTTGATTTCTCAGCTGCTGGAGAAGGAGTCTTACAAGGAGGCCAGCGTAAAATGGGTCAACAAGTAAAAGAGCACTTTAACGAGAAATATTAAAGTTGTCAGTTTAAATAGTTTGAAATTGGTCATTTTTACAAAAAATGGGCCAGAGTTTTACATTTTGTCTCAAAATTGGCATAGCTAACAAATTAAAATAACCACCAGGATTTTCTGGTTACTGAAGAGCTGATTTTCAGCAAAGGAAACGAATCAGATCTTTTGACAGCCATTTTGATAAATTGTATTGAAAATACTAGAATATTTTGCAAAAAAAAATGTTTTTAAAGGGAAGGCTATTGTGTAGAAAAACTGTGTTTTCCCCCTCAAGCACCCTACCAATTCTAATTCAGAATCTTACATAATAGTATATATAATCTGACCAGTATATTGGATGCAGCTATTAAATATTTGGATGAGATGCAAAAGAAAGCATTAGTACTGTGGTAGAATGACAAAAATGGAATGCTACCATCTTTTAAGTAAGCAGGAATTATCTTCTGTAATATAAACCAGATTCTGTATAATAATTAAAGTAACAACTCTAGTATCAAATGATGAGTTGTGCTGTAAAGGAATTAAAGAGACTGATTTCTTATTCAGTGAGTATCCTGTTTAGTTTTATTGACTTAAGAATTAAATATTATCCTTCACAAGGGAGAGGTTAATTTTCACATCTTGAACATTGTATAGTTCAGTGAACAAGAGAATCAAAGTAAGTGTTATTCAAGTGTTGTTGTAACCATTCTTAAAGGTTGATGGGAATTCTGTATCCCTGAATGAGCTCATGGTAGCATTTCCCTTTTGGCTTCCATTAGTTGTTTTAATGGGGTTATGATCTTAGAGGTCCCTAAATGCAGTTATTAGAGTTAGATTAGTATCTGACTAGCTCAGATTCTTCCACACACATTCACAGCCTTGTCCCAGGGTCCTTTACTCCAGTGGTGCTCTACCTCCATCCCAGAGGCCAGATCTGGGCCACGGAGCTATGTCAGCTCCCCATGGGTCTGGAATCTGGTGGCGGAGGAGTGGTAATTAATGCTGCCACCACTCCCCCGCTGTCAAACTGCCAACCCCTGCAGATGACATAGCTCTGTGCACAGGACCAGGGCTGCAGGTGCAATTAGGTATGTGGGGCTGGCATCCAATCTGACATGCAGGCCCAGTCCACAGGAGCATTATGGCACGTAGGATGGGGCCTGATCTGGGATGCAGGGACCAACCCCACTTGCTGGATTGCCTCTAGTTCCACATGCCAGACTGAAATCATGGACCAGATCAGACTCATCTGGCCCATGGGGTCAAAAGCTTGGGCACCGCTGCTTTGGTTCATAGATAATTCTAAGGTCTTCAATAGGATTACTTGCTAGGGAAGGTGCTACTCAGTATGAGTCAGTGTTGGGAGATGAAAGCACAAACACATATGGATTTTTCCACGGAAATCAGCTTCAACCAAACATTACAGAGTGAATTGCCTACATGATTTGTATTGGTTAGCATTGTTCCCAACAGTAGTATTATCACTCTCTGAGGAGCAATGGGAATTTAGTGACACATCTTCAACTGAGCTCAATAAATACTGACACACACAAGTAAGTGCAAGATTTTTAAATTGTCTAAGAGCTGAGAACATTGAAAGCAATGGGAGTTCTTGATTGTGAGCAGTGTTAAAGTTTGGCTTCATGATTCGAAGTGCTTAAAAGGAATCTGAGCAATTTTGATAAGCTGGCCTTTAGTGCCTCATGTGTATTCTTCTAGTAGGGAGTAAGAATTAGGCCAGTTAGAACTATTTTAGATTTTCACTATAAATGCATTAGTTATTGTCTGTGTATTGTACGAGATACTGTTTCTTTGTTCAGAAGCCTCAGAAAATGGGTGAGATTACCACATGAAATGCAAACCCTGTGACAACCACACATGTTAATTATTTGGGGTCATATATTCTGTTGCACTTACTAGCCATGAGTATTCCCATAACGGCCAAGGGTAAGACCAGTGGGATTTCTCTTTCCTCTACATGTCCTTTCCCTACATCACTTCAGTTGGTCTGTGCACAGGATACTATTGACTGATGGAAATCTGAGAAGGAGAAATGTTTGAGATGTAAATGCAAAAATTACAGGTGAGGTCTTGGTTCTATTAAAGTCAAAACTCTCATTGACTTCAGTTGGCCAGTATTTTACACTATGACCTTTCTGCTCAGCCTGCATCCAAGTCCATCACTTAGGCAGACCAGACAGTTTGACAGAGGCCTAAGGACATACCCTAACACCTCTCGCAGGCTCTCTGTCTCAGGAAAATGGTTCTTGTGCACGTAACTCAAGTATCTTTTAAATTGTGTACTTTGCCTAGTTGCCAGGCAGGGCCTGGATGAAGTGGGAACAAGTGGGCAGAACTCTTGGAGGTTGTCCTAGGTACAGAAGGGAGGTGATATGGATGCGACACATGTCTTTAAATATATGTATCTCTAAAAATACTGATTTGGTTTGAATTTAGTAATGGAAAATGCCAGTTGCAAAGAAATTTTAAGAGGTTATGAGTGAGTTCATGACTTAGGTTCATGAGCAGGGGAAGTTTTGAGAAGAGAAATCATGTTTCACCGTGTGCATTACAAGTGCACAGTGAACTATCAATCACATTGTATTATCAAAGTGCAAATGGATAATAAGGACCAAAATTGTCTCTCTGAGGTATATGTTCCTCTCCTTTTGAAATCAATGGAGGGCAACATTTGAAAGGTATGTTTGAATAGGATTAAATTGCAAAACGGTATGCTAAAAATCACTCTCAAATATCATTTAGAACAGGCAAGTTTGGAAGAGCTGTGTGCAACTGACTGTGTCTTCATTGCAAGGCTGCATTTTGCTAATTGAAACCATACTTTCAATGCTGTTTTTTTCTCTGAATTCTTTTGCTACTGGGCTTATCTAGCTGCTCAGTGATCTCAAGACCCTACAGTGATCATGAACTAGAAGCAGTCTCTGGGAATGTCATTTGGTTGGAGATAATAGAGCTCTTTAAACACTTAAAGCCCATTTTCTTCTGTCTGTACTGAAATTGATCTTGCTCTATCCATCCATTATTTTGTGAAATAATAACCCATCTTTGCCTCAGATTTTTATTGTGATTATTATGAAAGGCAAACAGAGAAAATACCATATATGCAATCAGTGAAGATTTTATCTTAGTGATAGTTTTTCTTTCTGTAAGGCTAAATAGAGCCTGATCCTTCGATAGCAAGAGATGCTGAACAGCCTCACACTTGGCGTCTTCAACTGCCACTGAATTTAGTAGGATTTCTTCTTTTGCTTGACCCCAGGCAAAAGGACTGTCAATAATTGCATTACTTAGGATATACTTTAATGAGAAAAAAAATCAAAATGTTTCCATTTGTGTCTTTTATTAAGTAATGCAAAATACAGTACTAATTATGACACCACATGCATTTTAGACAATATAAATGCAAGCCTACGGAAAATATGTGACAAGAAACCCTCAATTACTTTTGAGGTAGTATACAAGGGGAAAATAGGGAAGCAGAAACACAATGAAGTAAAAGAACAAAATATTTGTATCACATTGTGCATACATTATTCACTCATAGATACATTTGTATGAAATAACTTAGGTTACATTTCTGTTCTCCTTTAAAAATATACTTCTTTGAATTCACCATTCTCGTATATTTCAGTTTCACAGGACGCGGAGTTTACGCTATTTTATCTGACGGGTTTATTTGTTGTCACTGCAATAATGATGTAACCCTTTTCCTCCAAGACTTTAGGCACAGCTGGCCTCATGCACAAAAATAAATAAGAAACCTGCTTGAAGGGAAAAGAGTACTGCTCAAATAGCTGATATTAAGGAGAGTCTAATAAATACCATTTTGTTTATAAAAATATTTCAGGTTTATAAAAGAGGGGGAAGGGTAGTCTCCCAGATGGACAGGATGGTGTGTGAAAATTGTAACGTGTTTTGAACAGGTTTTTGTTTCAAACCTACAGTACCATTAGGACTATATATTTTGTAATAATCCTGTTTCTTAGAACCTGGTCATTCACTAGAAGTATCAAATGGTGCTTGTTTGTTTTCTTATTGCAGTTCTGGAAGATGGTTAATTTAGAAGGGTTCCATATAATTGTGCTTTTGTAAGGCTGTCCTTCCGACTCAGACCTGTACTCCCAGTCCGTTGAAACTGCTGCTGTTTGCTGTGAAGGCCTGAATGGCTCCCTTGCTCCATGGAAGACTGATGGATCTCTGACGCCTCCATTGAACTCTGATTGAGAGATTCTGCCGAGCTGTTTGGGCTTACATCGACATACTCCCTTTTCAACACTGGGCTACTTTCCATATTTTTGCTACTGCACAACTGGACCGTTATCCGTTCATTTTTTTGGTCTCTTGATTCTTTTGTTTTGTAAGAGGGTAACTTGTCCTGTTTACAGCTACTGCTGATGTCAATATTCAGGCCACTGTCTGTTCTCAGGAAGCAAGAATCCACAAGTCTGCTTTGGCAGATATCATCTCCCTCCGAGAAGCTGTCTGCTTTGTAACTGGCATAGATGGGGCTTGCTCGGCTGTCAGTTTTTTTGACTGGACTGCTGTAGTACTGTTCTGAAAAACTGCAGGGGGACAGTCTGCCAGTGTTCCTATAAGAATATGCACCAATGTCCTCTGCACTCAGCTGCCTCCACCGACTGGGTAAGTCTTCTTCTGAGAGATGGGTGCTTCTGCACTCATTCCTCATTTTCTGACTTGCCAACACCTGTTGCGTAGTTATGGCTGAGAAATGGAAAGGCTCATTTGCATAAGGAGACAGAGTCCGAGTAAAAGTGGGAGAGTTGTCATTGTCATCAGCAAGTTCCATGTGCTGCACAGGTTTGGACTTGGCAAACCTAGGACTTCCCTGATGTTCGTAACCTGAAGATGACTTTCTGTCAAACATTTCTTCTCTGTTGCCCATGTAGATTGCTTGTTGAGAGGCTGTCAGAGTGCTGGCCTGGGCATTCTCCTTTTCCTCCGATGTAACGCTAAAGCTGGAATAGGAGCTGGAGGTTGGTAAAGAGGTAACGTATTCTGGGAAGGCTTCATGAGAGAAGCTGGAATGGAAGCCATCTTCTTCTACAGTGCTGTCAGTAGAGTTCTGGGATCTCAAAAACCCTACATCTTTCACTTGCATATCCACACTCTGTCTCCTCTCCCTCCTCCTCTCCTCAGGGCAATAAAGAGCTGTATCGCTGCAATAGATGTCAGACTTGTATTGGGGCTTTTGCCCAAGCTTCCCAGCAGAGTCCTGAAAGGCAAGATCTCTTGTAGATGTGCTTGACAAATGTGAGGACAAGCTGTTTGGATCTGGTTTTTCCAGCACTTTAGCAATGACGCAAGTTGGTATGGTATCAGCGAATGATGGGTGACAGAGAGGTACAGAAAGGCTGCACCCATGCTTTTCCAGATGGATGCTGACTCTTTCCTGAAAGTCAGATGGCAGCTGTAACATAAAGGGATAATGTGGGGAAGGAGAAAAGGAGGAAAATCAGTAAGGCTGTCTTATTCATGCTTATACAATTCCATACACAGGGTTAATTTGCTAATGCATTTGGTTTCATTTGATGAGAGGGGAAACTGATTCTTAAACAACAAGAAATCTATGAACATTTTTAAAAGTTCTGAAACTTTCAGGTATTTCCCCATTATGGAGAGTCCTGTGAAACTGAAAAAGTCCTATACAAGTTAAGGTTTGACTGAATATAAAAAAGAATGAGAGGTCCTGACTACAGAATTTTAAAAGTCCAGATGGCCAATTATATTCTACAGCAGCACTTCTCAGCCCATAGGTGGAATATATGAGGGGTATCTTGGCCCCTGTGAGAGTGAAGAATCAGCTTTCTTCTTCTCCTCTTCAAATGCCCCTACAATAATTTCCAGAGTCTATCTGTGACTGCAAGTGGACATATTAAAATACCATATAGGGGCTGTCCCTGGGAATCTGCATTCAGGAGTTTTCAGAAAATGTTCAGGTTAAACTCCTCAGCTGGTGTAAATCAGTGTAGCTCCATCAAGATCAATGAGCAATGCTGGTTTCCACCAGCTGACAATGTATCCCTTTGATTTGTTAGCAGACTCCTGTTTCTTTTTAGCATCTCCCATTGTCATTAAGGTACACTTTTACAACCAGATAATCCCAGAAATTTCTCTTCTCTTTTATAACCAACAGGCAGCGACTGACCTTATAATTATGTTCAATTACTAAATAATGTTGCCATACAGAGCTTAAAGAATATAACAATTGTTGAACTAAACATCTTGATTACTCTAACTCAAGAAAGTTTTGAGAGTGACCATTATGGATAATTATTCCATTATATATAACAGATGGTTCCTCATTTTTCAGCTTCACTTCACAGTTTTTACAGTTGGTTTAACCCAGAAGCCTTAATGCAGTCAAAATATGACATGATGTGAAATGACAGGACAGTTAGTTTGGTGTAGGATGAGAGTCCTTTTTATTTACCACTTCCCATGATATTTTAGGTTAATTCAAACATTGCTAATTTAAACAATGTATCCTCCATTTGAAATAAAATATGCAACATTGCTGATGGCTCTGGCAGACAACAATATTAGTAACAGTAGCTACAGATGCAACAAAGATTGAATAAACAAACTGCAAGGCCAAACCAATACAAATCACCATAAAGGTGTGGTCAATATTGCAAAAGAAACTCACATTTAAATTGAAACTATTATATAGGGTAGGTGTGGTTTTTATGAGCATAAAGAACAATCATTACACTACTGTTTGATCTATTTTATACATATTATTTCTATTGTTAAGTGTTTTAAAGAAAATAATTGTTCCTTTTGGGGTGTTGGATACTGGGGTTGGTATTGGTAAAATGATATTCATATAATATTAGTAATAAATACACTGCACTGCAGCTCATGGAATTATATAAACTATGTTGGTCCACAATTTATCCATAGTTTGTCAAGCAATTTCAAAGTTTTGCAATATAGCCATTTACTTAATGATCCTTACTACATACACTCAGAGTTTCTGAATTAACAAATATTTCCAGTAGTAAATTGAGACTTTGCCTCTTGAATTGAAAGGGTGACCCAGCTTTTGGAAATGATGGAAAAAAAACCCCTTGAATATTTCTTGACTAAGTTCATCAGTGTGTAGTTTCAGGGCCCAAATATTTTCAGAACTTGTGAATATTTATTACAGGAGGTAGTTCTGACTCCTGAGAGCAGTCCCAGTAAAGACTTTTTGAAAACAATGGTTCTACTCATGGTAGTAAACTTTACTCCCTGCTGAAAGTGTTTGCAGGATCAGGTCACAATATGATCTGGAGGCTCTGACTCTGTTCTGGTCATTGCCCTTGTTGATCAGACAATGTGATTCACCTTCCATTAACAGATTTATTCAATACCACAAAACCTTATATTGATTTAGAAATAATTTGTAGATTTTCCTTTAATTTTGTACTGAGCTGATGAAGCCGAAAAAAGGGAGTCAGTGTCCTAATAGTTGTGACCTCTGCCATGAACATGCATCTTGAAGGCACTGCATACTATGTAAGAGCATCCCACAAGCTTGTTTCATTAAAATACCTTCCAAGAAGGTCTGCTGTGAAAACAGGTCATTAATTGAGGGCCTAATTCTGTTTTCCATTAAAGTCAACTGGCAGAATGGGAGTAATTCCAAAGTATCTCAGAGGTCACCGTAAAGACTTGCAGTGAAATCCTGATCTTCCTGCGTGACTTGTCAGTATTGTTATTAACCTCAGTTGGTAAGACCAGAATTACACTTCTCATTGTGGAAAGCTAGTGAATGTATTCACAGTTTTTCCTAGCATTTGCTTTCACTTGTGCAATGACCTAAAATAAAATGCCTTCCTGGCAATGATTTGGTACCTGTTTTCCTCAGCTTTAGAGGATCAGTTTCTCTCAGAAGTTTTGGGACAGACTAACTAATTTAACCCATACGTCTACCTTGCAAATTAAATATTATTCTCCTTAGAAAAAAAAGTATTTTATTTCCCTGTTCGTTTGTTTTAAAATTGATTTTTGGTATTGAGTGGATGGGCTTGGGATTAGTTTTAGGAGGAAAACTGATTGTGTAAAAACGCTTTGGCGGCAGTAGGATTTCATTATTTTCTTTTATCATTTTACATGATAGAGGTCTGAGCAGTCTCAGTCCTTTGATTTTCAATAGGGTCGGTGCAGGCCTGCTCCAATCCATACCAGAGCTTTTGGAGAAGGGAGCATCGCCCACTTTATCTGAAGCTGAGATTTTGTAACAATCCCTCAACTGCACAGAAAATTAAGAGGTATAGTCAGTCTTTCCTGTTGCTTAAAGGAAATAGAAAACCCAGTGATTTAAATGCAAATGGGTTTTGGGATTGATGCACACAGAATAGCCTGTTTTTCAAGAAACGTTATTTCTTTGTATATTCATTAAGTTTGTTCACGTTACCTCAGAAAGCTTATGTGCCCTGTTGTAATTCTTGCTGCACTGGAGCAGCTGAGCAGCTAAATTGCAGTCCTTTCTATAGAGCTCCTAAAAAACAGAAAAAGCCTGTTTTTTACATTTGCAACTAGCCTGAGGCATTGATTCCTGCTCTCATTTCTCGGCAATCCTTGTATGCTTACTCTGGGAAAGTGAAGACCATACTCTATATTTCTAAGTCATTACGGTTCTACTTTCCTTGCATAGTCCCAAAATGTTAGCTCCCCCCAGGGTACGAAAGGAAAGGTGAATAAAATGACCAAGAAAGAAACCTTTGAAACAGTTTTACTTCAAGAACAGCTTGAGAGCATGGGGTGGGTACTTACCATGAGGAACTCAGCATTATATAGTAAATATACCTGAGAGACTAGGGGTACCAATATACAGGCAAGCTCTATATTGCAAAGGAAATACCAGTAAAGCACAAATGTTCTTTACTGAACATCCCCTTAAAGCAGCACTTGGAGACCATATTTGAAATGTCTGAAACAGTCTCATAAGGCTGTAAGGGGAGTTTACAGAGTTTTACCACAGGTTTTAAACATTCCTTTGTGTCTTTACGAAATACTTCCTGGCTCATTAAATGCACTGCAGAATGCAGCTCTGCAAATATCATAAATCTCATTGCATAGTTATTTGATGTTTTAGTGGATCAGGAAGTACCAAGAGAACTTCACGCAGGGATAACACAAATTTAAAACAAGTTAGTTACATTATTTTTGTGGTGGAATGGCTCCTGCAGCCTGTTTAATGGAGGAATTCAGTACCAAAATCTGTGCTTAACTCAATATTCAGCCTTGCTTTGTGCTACCCTACTATACCCAGCTGTACCCTCCACTGCAGCAGCTATAGGACCCCTGGGATGCAAGTTATACATGTCTTATTTCTGGTAAGATGTCATTAAAAACAAAACCTATTTTCAAACGTGGGCTCTACAGACATGCATTGAGGAGGTACAGAAAACATTAAAAACCTTGAGGCACCAGGCCACGCAAATGCACAGACATTATTAGTGTTTGTAAAGAAAACCTGGTTAGGTTTAAAATAGCTTCATTGTTTTTTCTGGGTGCTGAGGCTATCATTTCAGAGCAGACAGACTTTTCTGGTTCCATTTATTCTTCTGAAAATGAATGCACATTTTCTATGAAAAGGAAAGGCAGGAAAAGTCTCTCTTGTGAATGCTATTGTTTGAAAAAAATCTAGCTGTTCTGCAAAAGCAGGCTCTGTAAGATGTTTGGGGGATCAGTTTGCTGTGAGATATGGGAAAAGCACATTCACATTTTACTTGCTTCATGTTGACATCTACAATTTCAAACGCCTTTATTTGCAAATTATTGCTGCATTATCTACTTTTCTTTTCGGCTTACTCTACACATCCCATTGCCTGTTTCTAATGCATAGCTGGGGGTTGGGGGAGGGTAAATAAATTCCACCCTAATAAATTTGTTGTTGTATTTTATGTTAGTAAATGGGATCTCTATTCTAAAAAAACAGATGCAAACAGTAGGAATCAAACATTGAATTTAAAAGCAAAATCTCTGTTGCATATGCATGTGATATTGGCATATTTTACATGGATATTTTACACTGAGTGCATTCCTGCAAAAATATAAAAACACAGACAGCCAATAGAAATTCCTTGTGGAACAATTAAGCAAGAATGAAATCACTCCAAAGGCTCATCTCTTAATTCAAGACTGGGCATTTCCTCCTCTGTGAAGATGTTGCCATGGCAAGCACAGAATACAATGCTGACACTATTTTTAGCATCTTTAAAAAAAAGTACAAAGAAAATCACATGTAAGTTGAATGTAGTGAATGTATCTTGTTCGCAACATGAAAGCATACATGACTTCATTGGAATTAATCATATCCTTTAATATAATATTAATTCAAATCAGCTCCAGAAGGGCACAAGCAGAGCAATAATTGATCAGTAGGTTTCTCTCACATTCCCTCACATGTTTGCTAAAGCTTAGGTGTCATTCATTAGTGGCATTCAGGGGAATGGGGAAAATATCAGCCACTGAAGAAATAGCAGCGAATGTAAATACCTTTACAGGTAAAGTTCTGTTTTTCAATAGCATTTCCAGTTAATCCTTGTTTATAATATTGAAGATCTATGGGGTAGATCTTTGATCAAATTCAATCACAATCTCTTAGCTGCCATTGCTCCATTAACTTTGGGGAGAATTCTTTTGTTGCGATTCACTCTGGGGCACAAGGAAATGCTTATGGGTCTCAGTCTTAGCGTATGGAATACAAACAAGTTACTGAAGAGGAAAGAGGGATGGTACTTCAGAGCATCATTGGCTGGGTGGGAACTGTTTGGTTGTACATTACTATCCCGTGGTATGTAAAAGCTACACCAGGGTAATTTCCCCTGCTTTCAACAGAGAGTAAATTATGATGGGATAACTTCCACTTGCTACAGAGAAACAGCCTACTGTTATCACGGACCACCTGATATGAACTAATTTTTTTCCTGCTTTTACCCAACCATTAGTTATTTTTATGTCCATATCCTCTAGCTCAATAGTAACATGAATGCTGAAGAGTAACAAAAGCAGCAGCAACAACTGATTGCTTCATGTTCTGTTTCAATCCACGCTGTCTTTTCAAATCATGAAAACTGAGAACTCGGCTTAGTTCACATGCTGGATCTAATTCTGTCACAATGCTTCATACCTCCAACTGATGCCAGTGGAGTTTCCAGAATGCAGATGAGGGCGGGGGAATATCTAATTTCATTGGACTTTTGAAATAATTCCATTTATTTCAGTGGAATTTTTCTGGATTTGTACCAGTGCATCTAAAAACTGAGTTAGAGTATTGTAATTACATAGTTCTTTTAGTACAGATGTTAAAATATCAAATGCATTTATCCTATTTTTTCTTATACCTTAAGTGTGTTACAAATTCAGGGACAGACTGTGAGCTCCATGCTCCTACTGGTAAGATGTTAGATACATGTTTTTTTTCTGTTAAAATTAATGCGGGTATTCTTGAAGTTCACATGATTAAGAGTCAGAAATCAGCATGTGAGCTTGCATATAAAACACTGAATGCAAGGCACTAAAGAGTACTAATGAGAATATAATGCCTTTTGTAATATAAATATTTTGCTTAATACCTCTAGCTAGGGAGTGGTATTATAATGTATTAAAACATGCAGTCTTTCTCCCTTTGCCAGTGCCTTTTAAGTACGTACAATGGAACAATTTCACAACCTTTTTGCCCCTTTCCAAATACATGCTAATTCCCCACTGTGTGTAAAGAGATGTGGTGACAGTTGAAAGGGATATTCTGTGTTCGTTTTACAGTAAAGGGAGATAAAGAATTATACAAGGAACTATCCCCAAGGAAAAATTCTGGAGCCAAGTTTAGAATTTATAACCTGGATTTCAGAATTTGGAACCTAAATTCTCAATGACGAAGATGAGTCAATCATGTACAATCCTCTCTCAGACAAGAGGTGCTTAGTGACGTTGGGCCCCCTGGCAGACATTGATTTAATTGCATGTTGGGGATCTGATGAATTTTATCCTGGATCCCAGCAATTGTGCATCTTACCATGCCACATGTGCAAAGACAGGATGTGCAATTTTTAGGATCTGGGATAAAATACATCAGATCCCCAACTGTGTCACAGGTGAGTGGTGTAACGGGAGATCCCTACCCTCTGTTACTAGAAGGAAGAGGAAAGAGTAATATAGAGCCAGTGGAGTAACTGCTGCCTGTAGACATCTAGCTGCAAGGAACAGGAGGTGTGAACAGCACAGTTAAATGGGCTTCAGCAGGGGTCAGGCTGCACTTGAGTCCAGGGCAGAGGGACACTCTGGCCCTGGCTGTGGAGGAGAACAGAAATCTTCTTCAAGACAGAAAGAACTTGAGTCAGTCAGAAGAAGATGACCTACTGCCTGCTGGGAGTGAGTGCACCAGTGTGGGGAGTATTGGATTGAGGATTGTTCACATTACCCAGGGTGGCGGGGGTTGGGACTTCTGTTCAGAACTGGTTATATGCCCAGTGCAGGTCCTGTTATGTTTATTAGCATAATAATAATAAACATTATTTATTATTTATCGGGAGTGGCTGTGAGGTGTGGGCAATAGATTGCATAGCCGAGTGTTTTGTACAGTGCCATTTCTCTTTTTGTTTTTTTTCTGGCAAGGAATGAGCTGGAATGGAGAGGGGCCAAAGCCACAGGGCTGAGGCCCAACTAGAGGGGGAAGAACCATGGAGCTGAGATCCAGAGCTAGGATAGAGGAACTGAACTGAGACCCAAGGAGGTGAAGCTGAGGCCTCAGGGACCTGAGACTGAAACAAGCACAGTCAGAAGATCCAGTAAACAGGGACTGAGACAAACATGTGAGGCATGGGTATGTCTATAGGGGCAGCTGGGGACCAAGATTCTTGCCCTGTATGGCCATGGTTAGAACTGCTAGAGAAAAAGTGGTAGAGGGAGCACCAGAGCCTTAGCACTGGATTTTCCTTTTCTGACATCTCTTCCAGAAACGTTTTTTGTGTGAAGGCATGGCAGATGAGCATAAAGAGGGAGAAGATCATAAGGGGACCAGGGAAGTGTAGGACTAGCTGGCAGGTGAAGCCTGAGGCTACCTTCCAGGTTGGCCCTGTCACAGTGGGGAGCCCATCATCAGAGACTCAGTCCCCAATGCCAGGCTCCCTACCCACTTAAACGTTCAAAGGGTGCCGAAGAAAGCATGGCATTGGAAACCGGTCCCTCATGCTAGACTTCCAGCGGTGACTTTTCAATTTGACAGTGTGCTGATAGGCTCCCTGTGTGGCAGCAGGCTGAAAGCCTAATGGTGCAGGGCTGCACTACATGGCTTTCAGCCTGCTTATGTATGGGGAGTGTTTCAGCTGATGGGCTTTCAATGCTCTGGCACCTAAAAATGATGGGGTAGCTCTCCCATTCCCAGCTTCTCATTCCACAAGCAGCGTTCCCTCTAAGCTGTGTGGCATGTGCAGTTGCGCAGGAGTGCTCAGGCTGTGCTGCCAGGCATGCCTGCGCAGCCGTGCACACCGCACAGCTTAGAGGGAACGCTGTCCACAAGGTGCAAATGAGAAGGGGTGTTAACTTGAGGTGTGGACAGTTAAGAACCAGGGATGTCATTGTGTCAGCTGGTAAACTTAAAGTTCAGCCATGCACATGACATTGGTCTGCATTATGATGCTTTACCCTGCCACATTTTCAATTCAAGGCATGATAGAAACCAGCCACAAAGATGTTACACATTATATGTGGAACATCCTTATGACTTGTTTCTTGTTTGGTTGCACCATTAATTTCCTGAACATTTGGCATGATTACTATTTATGGTGTGACTAACAGGTGAATTGTGACATAAATGAAACATCTACCAAGACCCTAAGAGTCCTATTCTAGGAATCAATGACTAGAAAAACTGGGAAGTGAAGAAATTATATTAGCGGAAACAAATTTATGGCCATGTGACTATTTATTGCCATACTCATTCCCATATAACTATAATTTGCATGCAGACACTAATAGTTAGGTGCAGAGCAGGATTTGCTCATACACTATCTTGGGACCTTTGTTTCAGGGAAGTATGCTGAAACTGGTTTATAGTAATATAGAATGCGGTTTAGTTAAATTCTCCAAATTTGGGGTATAAAGACCAGTAGTAACAGTTATTACAACACAACAACTGAAATGTAAGAAAAGCTAACATTATAGAGTAATGAGAAACTTCCAACATAGCAACATTTCTGATTATAAATTTGACAAGTCACACTTTATGTAAAGAATAGGAAATTAATCTTTAATTCTATATAAATTATGTGGCCTAATTTGCTTTCATATACGACCTTGGGAGGCATCCATAATTAAATACTTACATTGTCTTCTGACAACTTATCTATTGTCACCTTGGCTTCTATTAAATGATTATTGAGCGCAATTATTTCATGGCTTAAAGCCCTTTTTTCCTCTTCATAATGTTGACCCTGTGTATAAAAATGGATCAATCAGTATTTTTTCCACTGTAATATAATTCCAGAAAACTCCTCAAAGCTTGATGCCATTTTCAAAACCAAGATGCATAACATGAACAATGTATTCTTCCCTCCAGCTCAGATCAGTTGCTTCTTTTACATAGCACATTAGAGAATATGCTGTGATAATGTGGAGGCCAAATGCATTTCACATTAAGAAAAAGAGAAAAAGAACTAATGTTAAATACTAATACAGACAACAATGATGATGATGATAATCCAGCTTCATTGAAAATGGGTTCTGCTAGGGTAAGCCTAGGGAGGACTTTGATTTTCCTTGACCAATATACCAAAATTTGTTCGTGTCACATCCTTGGTTTCCATTTCCATCAAGCTGGAGAAGCTGCAGGCATCCCAGAATACAATTGATCTGAGGGCTGTCAAAAATAGACCAACAAGTGTATCTATTTCTAAAATGAATGGTTTGTCCAATTGATTGATTGATTGTGTTAATTTCAAGGGGGTTGAGCATGCTATGGAGTAACAAAAAAAAAGGTCTGAGTGGGTGATGTTTAAGCCAACCAGTAGGAAATTCTGAACAAAGTGTGGGAAGTACATGAAATTCTACATTTCTCCTGAACTTAGGTTGCAGAGGAGTGCCTACCCAAAAGCGTGAGTTAGACCCTATGTACAACTGGAATATGAAACTCAAACTCCTGCTTAGCTTTAGCTGCTCAAGTTTCTCCCTTTACTTGCAAATGACTGGCATGGTGTTGGTGTTGTCATCATTGTCCACCTTTTGTGTACTGGCTTATTGGTTAAAGTTCTTGTCTAGGAAATAGGCCTAGAACCCAGGTGTCCTTTCTCAGCATCTCCCACTAGCATCAAATCTGCATCCTTTACTTCCCGTAACCACTGAGCTTCAGGCAAGGTTGGGATTGTGCTACTCTCCATCCCTTTTGTTGACTAGCCACAACAGGAGTGGTGGGGAGTAGCCACATCCCAGACTTGCCTATAGCCTGTCTGCCAGGGTAACTTCTTGGGAGATGGGAGATTTCTCCTGGTGGCTGAGAAGAACCAAAACATATAAGGCTCCTACTGCCTGGACAAGTGCTGTAATTACTAGACTATTATATAAAAGATGTGCAACATAACTACCATTATGAATATGGTTTTTGGTGCCAAATTCAATTCTAAGTTGGTGTTAGGCATGCTTGGAACACACCTATAAATGGAACTGCTCTGAGGACTTAGGCACCAGGACAACCAGTTAGAGATTCCCAAATGACTTTAGGTGGGAGATTGGAACCTAAATGTTCATCTTAGCCAAGATGGTGGTGCCTCTAGGTTTGCTCAAGTAGCTGAACTTTAGGTGTTCTAAGTAGATTTCTGGTGAAAATGCAAGCACCCATGGAGTCGGAGGCACCCAAGGGGGTCAGGTGTGGTTTTTGTGAATTGTCTCTTTGTCTTAGGGACTTAAACTGTATCAAAATTGTACTTTAAGCTCTAAAGTACTTCTGAATTTCACTCAAAGTGATTTGCCCAAGGTCTCACAGGCAACTATGAGCCCTAATCTTCTGACTCTGAACCCAGTAGGACTCCAGTCCCTCACTCTATTCCAGTGTTTCCCAAGCTTTTGATATCCGGGGCACACTTTTTTCTGGACTAAAATTGGCAGCATGCTTCACTCTTACACTGGAAAACAGTAGCATAACTTAGTAGGGGCATTTGGGTGGCGTGAGGGGGAACTCATCTCAGGCACTGATTATGAGGGAGCACCGCCCATGCCAGGAGTCTGCCATGGCAGGAAAAGCTCTGTACTACTGTCCGGCCATAGGAGCCAGGCAGCACAGTGCCATACAAATCAGTGTGTCTGGGGGGTGGGAGGTGAGTGGAGCAGGTGGAATAGCACTCTACCTCACCTCCTTCAGCCTTTGCAGCAGCAGGAGAAATCTGTGCTGCCTTTGTCTGGCCATAGAAACCAGGCAGTGAAGCACCATGTCAATGTATTTGGGGATTAGGGAGACTGGGGCTTCCCTCCCCAGTCAGCTGTGGTTGGCATAGCCTCAGATCCCCCCACCCAGGTGCTCCATGAGCTCCCTACACCCCTGCCTGCTGAAAAGGTATACTTCAAAACATTGCCTAGTCCATTCCCCTGCCAGAGCTGAGATGTATTGTTAAGAAAATGACACCAAATATATCTTTCTTTAAGCAAAGGATTAATTCCTACACCAGTTATTCTCAACCTTTTTAGCCTCAAAGGCCCCCTCCATAATGTTTCTGAATGTTGTGGTATCCCAGCTGAATATTACCGAGAGACATCTTAATTCAGAAAACATGGAGGGGGGAGGCCGTGAGGCTAAAGCTGACAATTGGTAATCTAGTTGGTGCCACTTAAGTTGGTGCCCCTGCTGCTGAGGCTGCTCCTGAAGGGTCTCACATGCTGGCAACTGCCCCCACAGCCTGTTCTGCTGGACCTGGGGCATGAGAGGAATGGAAGGAATGAGCTGGGCTGCAAATTATGGTTCTGTCTGTGCATCTGTCCTTCCACAGCAGGGTGCACTGCTGGGAGTGTGGGGAGTTGAGTGGGGCTGACATAGAGGCTGTTGGGTGGGGAAGGGCAGGGGGAGGCAGCAGAAGCAACAGCAGTAGTCCCCAGAGGAGCAGTTGCAGGCTGCTGGAATGGTTGGGGAAGGCTCAGGGCGTCAGGTGGGGAGGAAAGTATTTACTTCCTCACACAGGGGAATCTTACAGCACACTTCCATTGCTCTTGCAGCACATCACTGGTCTGCAGCACACCGTTTGGGAATCAGTGCTCTATTTAGTAGGGGCATTAATTGACGTGCTCCAGGAGTGTGCGTGGGGGCGGGGAGCGCTTTAACTAGAGTGGTTCCGAGAGTAGTTGAAGCGTCACATGTATCAACGTCCCTGTACTAAAAAATGGCAGTGGGGGTGCCTTAAGTGAAGTTTGTTGAATGAGGTTTAGTTAAAGTGCTCCCGCTGCCATTTTTCAGTGTGGTGACGCTGATACACGTGACACTGGAGTCTCTTGGAGCACAGTAATTACCATGCTCCGGCAGACTTGATTAATTGAGTCTGCACTGGTTGCCACTGCTTCTTCACCAAGATGAAGCTCCCAATAATGCTGTGGTAAGATCTTTTAAAAAGCAGCATAATAAATGAGATGATTAGTCAGGATAAACACTAACCGACATCTAGTCTGTTTTGATTGTTCATTCTAGCAATGGGTTCAAGACCCCACTTCTCACTCTAGATTTCTTAAAATATGTTGTGAAGCATTTTCTCCAACAGGCAAACCGTATCAGATATTTAAATTTCCCAAGTGTCTTGTGTGTGTCAATATGACAGAGTCAAGAAAGTCTTCCATCAGTCTAGCTCAGCGTTGCTTGACAGCAATGGGAGTTGTGTGTCCTGAGGACACAAAACAAATATCAAGGTTAATTATTTGGTTGTGAAGTATGAATCTACAATAAAAAGTGATTATTAAACTGAACTGTGGCAAACTTCACATACTAAGTAGTTCTTTAAAAAAAAAATTGAAAATGATCTATTCTAGGTGAATTTGGTGCCTGTTTTCAGGTATTGTTTCTTATTGATTTACCATACAGGAACAGAACAGGTAAAGTTGCAGTGATTTTTCAGTGCCACACTCTTCGGATTGTTCCATAGTCCTCACCTGAAATGGCCATTAAGAGGGTAATCCATTCTCCATAATCAAAACTCATCTTTGGCCTCTCTGACCAGATTTCCAACAAGATTCTTAGCAAGCATCAGTTTTTGTGATGGCTTGAATACGTGTGTGATGGAATACCAAAGGATAATATTTTCAGAACCATCTGAGAACTGCTTTCTAAAGGGCCTGAAGAAGTCTAAAGCCCATTATATTTAATTTAATCTTGAGATTCTAAAGATCAAAGGGTATTTTGGTACTGAAAGATGCAGATAGGCACTTAGTGAGATTTAGAGAAATGCCTGGGCACTTAACTGCCATTGATTTCAACAGAGGTTGCACTTTTGTAAATTACACTGAGAGTCTAAATACCCCTAAAAAATCTGTCCCTAAGTAACTTCTGAGGAAAGGATTTAAGGGTAATTTTTCAGCTATGCATATTTGACATCTTAAGGCAACACAAGACTTTTGAGATTATGTCCTTTAGACTTAAAATTAGTTAGGTGCTTTTCAAAACATTACCTGAAATCTATTATATGTGTTGGCACTGGATTGAAGACCCAGATACCCTGTTCCAGGTGGACCCAAACCCTCAGACTGACCATGACTTCTCCATTTGATAATAGGCAAATTTTATTGCTACACGCAATGATAGCAGATAAGAATAATGCAAATGATTCTTTACCTACTGGTCCTAAGGCTGTCACATTGGGAAGGTATGTCTGGCTAGTACGCGAGCTTCACCCTGTGGTTCTTTATTGAATGTCAGCAGTCAGCAGCATGGAGGTTGAGGGCCGAGGCTTGCCCCAAGCCATGGGGTGAATGAAACCTCTGTCCATGGTGGCCTTGGGTCCCCCTCTCAGGGACCTTTGCTGCTCTGAAATCCTTTCTTTTGTATTGTTTCTCCCCTTCTGATGACTTTTCATTTCTGGATATCATTGATTGGTTTCCCTGTGGTCATCATACTGTCCATGTTCTGTTCTGTCAGCATATTCCTTTGTTTCAACAAACCCATAACATTACTCATCTTAATTTGGTTATTTACCTAACCTCCTAATTTGCTCCATCCATCAAAACCAGAAATTCCAAGGGCTTGGCAGCTGGGCATAGTGACTTAGCCTTGGTGCGTCATATGGAGCATTGCCTCCAGGGCCTCAAATAGTTCAACCATGCCAAAGATTGAGAAGGCTGGATTGACCATTTGTTTTTATTGTCATCCTTTTGTTTGTTTGTTTTGCTTTGTTTTGCTTTCCTTCTACTAGATATTTATTTTAAGCTTTTTATAGTAGGAATACAATGTAGCTTTATTAATTCTCAGAAT